GAGGCACTCCGGGTATCTATACGCGAGTCGGACAGTTGCGAGTACCTTAGATTATCGAACCTCAATAACGATTGAACCGATCGTATTTTTAATAGGCTTAATCGATAGCTTGAGTTTGAATCATATAATGAAAGTGTCTTTATTTTTTTTCTACATGTATCGTGAACGTAGATAATATGATGCAAAGTCGAAATGTATAAAATTTTTATTAAGAAACGTCTCCGTCTCCGTCATCGCCCAAGTTCCCAATGCGCAAGTACGAAAAGTTGTACGGTTGGATCATTTGCCATAAGATTGCGTTAACGGCGCTTCGTGATGTTACTGCTTGCGTCCGTACCTGCTTTTGACAAGTAAGGTTAATAAAATAAGTTTGCAATGCAAGAGTGCATTATCATAAAAATAGTAGAGATACTTATAATAAGAGTATCGCGGAATAGTGCAAGGAAGAACAAGAGTATCGCGGAATAATGCAAGGAAGAGAAATAACTTCTTCTAATCGATGTCATTTTGGATTAGGTTATATTATGATTACGATTATCGAGGACAAATTAATAAGTATCGCAGATAATGCAACAAGAAGAAAAATGATAAAGTGATTAAGGTAAAGTGATAAATTATTTGGTTATAAATTATAAGAATATCGCGAAATAGTGCAAGGAAGAGAAGTGATTTCTTCTATTCGATGTCATATTGGAGAAAATTAGTTTATATTAGCAAAACTGAGCGCTTATACTTGGGTGAATCGTCAATTAATACATTTGTGACAAATAAATTGTTGGAAAATGAAAGCATTGAAGGAATATTTGGAAAGTTTGGCTGATCATGTTTTCAATAACGATAAACTGGTAATTATACACGTGAACGCGTGATCATGTATAATGTTTATCGCTCTTTTCCGTTTTTTGTCTTTCTCTCTCCTTCTTTCTCTTTCTTTCATCTCGCATTTTGTTGCGTTCTCGAGCAATTCGATATTGCTTGTTGAATGTATATGTCGTAGCCAGATTAATAAAATCCGTTTATAAAATGTCTAAACATTTTATAAAGTGCGGTCACATTTTTTTTTGTATTAGAATTTTTGACTCTATTTTATCTCTAGAATACACTATTAAAGTATTGTACGGAGGTTGTGAGACACCCTGTATATACATATATACAGGATGTCCCACCAAAAATGGCCACCCCTTTTTATCTTTTAAACTAAAAAAGATAGACCATAACAAATATATATCAAATTAAATAGTTTAAACTGAACTTTGTTGTGAGCATAGTGGTTGCTTTCAAAAGCTATCTGTAAAACTCGTATAATATGTAAAATATTTACATTATATCATATATTGTTGTATTCGTTTCAAACAGCGCTACAATATATATATATATTGTTTATAGAACATGTAGAGTTAAAATAAAAGCATTTTTTTGTTAAAATACTTTTACAATATTATTGATTAATTCATTTACGCTCTACATAGGGCGCTGGCTCCAATTGCCAATTTCTAATTTTATTTTACTGATTTTAAAATACTTTTTATACAAACTCAAGCTGTTGATTAAGCCTATTAGAAAGCTTGATTGCTTTACATGTTATTAAAATAATATATAGTAAAAAAAGAATGATATAATCCCTAAAAACTTACATTTTTAAAAAAAGGTAAAAAAAGGCGCCAAGTACACGCGCTAGTTGTGAAAAACTGTTATATGGGTAAATATAGCGAATAGGGGACCCAGCCCCAAAGATCTTGACCTTGACATATGTTATCAAGGACATAATGTAGCGTCGCGACGCCAAGTATATATAAAAATTCGTTCCAGCTTGTTAACGGTTTGGCTATGTACAGAGGCCGCGACGCTACCAAGTAGCTTATCCGGAGTTTTACGTCTAATAAACTTTCAATTAAAATTCCTCAGGAACCAAGCCGTTAATCAAAAATCTAACGGCACTTTTCTGATACAATGTGGATGCAGGCTTTCGATTGCGACCAGTTTGAATAAGATTGGTGCAGTCAATCCTGAGGAATGATAAACGTATACCAGAAATGTGACATTTTTCGTTCTTCATCATTATCATAATAAGATAACCCTGCCGAAAATGGTCGATTAAAACGGATTAAAAAAAAATGTAATCCGAATCAATCGGGATTTCTGCTTGTAGTGTGAAGTCGGATTTGCTGTTATCATGAGTCACAATCAATTATTGAATCGGTGTTTCTACAATTAAAACAGACTCAGTTGTTAAAAACAAATATATAATTTCTCCGCAAAAGGTCCGCCTTATATCCCCGCTTGACCGCTTTCTACTTCCAGGTTGGTTTGCTCGACCTTCGCCGCGCGGATTGAACCGATTAAAACCGATTAATACGGATTATGTTTTAATCGGTTTTAATCGACCATTTTCAGCAGGGTAGCGACGCGGTTCGCCGCGTAGCGGCGCTGCCCGGAACTACGCGCGGACGCGCGAGCGCGTGAGCCGCCAAGTTGCGGGTCGCGCTACTGTATCGCGGATTGTGTTTAATGTGACGACGTACGGCAGCCATAATATCCTTTCGATTATTCGTGTTTATTTGAATTGACAACAATATGGATTAGAATGTAATGATTTCAGATTAGAAATAATCCGCGAAAGCGATATTAAAACCAATTATAGTTTGTTCGGAATTAAAATCGATTACTTTTTAATCCGGGCGCGGATTGAACCGATTAAAACCGATTAATACGGATTATGTTTTAATCGGTTTTAATCGACCATTTTCGGCAGGGAG